GTAAAAATGTCTATAAAATTATACTATCTGCCCTTGTGCATATGTGTTGTGGGCCAAGTTTTACGCAGTTCACAGTGTTTAAATAATCTGAATGGCTTTGGCTTTATAATTGGTTTTCTGCATTTCTCATACAATGTCGTCACATCATAAAATACAGTGGCTTAGGATCAATGAACTCTAAAATTCTAAATTGATCTTGGAATTAGGATGTTATTAAAGATGACTGAAGCTTCTCTCTCGCTATTTCCTTGCCAGAGCTGGATCATTGCTTTGAATTACTGTCTGCCAATTACTTTTCTTTTAACTCCACAAGGGATATTTTTAGAATTTGGAATATTTATATATCTTTAAGAAGAATAAAGGTTTTGTAAATAGTAACACAGCCAAACCTTCCTTTCAAGAAGATGAAATCCGAATTTAGGATGAAGAATATGCCTCAATTTCAGTTTGCAAAGACATATAATAATATAATCCCATTTACTTCCTATTTAGATGAACTTGAAGTGTTTTCAGCTGTGGTATGTTAAATTCATCTCATAGAGAATAGATTTGAGTGGATACTTAAGGCCTTTTCCTAGCTAGTTATGTTTAAGTTAAATGAATAAACATATTTTAATGTCTTAATTATAAAAACAAAATGTGTAGAAGTCTATGATCTGCCCTATCATTTGGAAATAAACCAAAAATCTTATTAGGTTGGAATTAAGTGGAAAATAGTTTTCCCCTCTGGAGATTTTTAATTTATTCAGAATATTTATATAATTGCCTCCTATCAAATCCTTTGAGATTGACTTTGTTGGGGATGCTCTTTAACTCCAAACACATTTTTCTTGAGGGCAAGGGGATATTATAATTAATTTCAGCATGATGGAAACCTTTTTCCTACTTATCTTATTACCTCTTCACACCCCCTTTTCCTCTTCTCCCTCCCTAGATAAGCTCACTGTTGATGTATGTGGGTTCCTAAACATTTTAGCTTGGGCCTAGTTAGTTCAGCCTCATAAAGGCATGGGAAGAATTTTGAACCTGCATGTGGAATTAGACAGTTTTCCTAACTCAGAAGATGAACCACCTCTGAATGCTAGATCCAAGTGAGTGTCCACAGCCCTCTATTGGGAGGCAAAGACCATTCAGTTGCATTGCCAAAACCAATGACTAACAACTTGTGATATTTTTGAAAGCCTTTGCTACTTTTGCAATCATAACTCCTATCTTTTTATCTCACCCTAGTTCAAAGAAATGTGCCTTTTCTATACATATTATCAAGTTGACTATTTCGGAGCTCTCACTTTAAGTTATTAAATGGTCTTAGTATCCCAACTCAAAGAAAACTGCAGCTCCATTGTAATAAAATGATTACTCAGATCTACCTCCACAAAATGTATGACTGAACCAGTTTTGTTGTGTTTGAGACTTCTGGGATGAAAAGTACTCTAAATGGATCATGATAAGAGTGAACTGCTCTGAGAGCATTTTTCACTGGGCAATGGATAAAACAGTGTAAATAAAGAAAAAATAAACCTCATCCCCAAAACAGGACTTTCAAAAAATGAGTGTTATACTGATAAAGTAAAAAAGTGCTTTTTATATCAAGTGTGCCTATACAACACTAGCATCATATTAAAGGGTCCTTTATTTACTTGAATTATGCACATCCAATTGATGTGTACAATGTTTTATATAAATGAAGTTTCCCATATTAAAAATATCTTAAGTTCATAAATTAAATATTTTCAACTCCACTGAGCTTTCTGAGTTTCAAGCCCAAAAGAAAAGGTGTTCCACTGTTGGCACTTCTATGAGTAAATAGATTTCCAGATAGGCTACATGGAGAAAATTGAGTAACTGTTATTAAAATTTTCTGCTCCTCCACCGACTTCCATGGCTCTCTCCCTGCAAACTTAGTGGCACTTTTTGCAGTCCATAGTAGTGAATGACCAAAAGCCTCCCAAGCACCTTATCTAACTACAGGAGGGCCTTCTTCAGAAATGTCTAGGAAAGGCTGCTAGGAGCAGTGGCTCATGCCTATAATCCTAGCCCTGTGGGAGGCCGAGGCATGTGGACCACTTGAGGTCAGGAGTTCGAGACCAGTGTGGACAACATGGCAAAACCCTGCCTCTACTAAAAGTACAATAATTAGCCGAGTGTGGTGGTGGTAATCCCAGCTGCTGTAATCCCAGCTGCTCAGGAGGCTGAGGCACAAGAATCACTTGAACCGGGGAGAAGGAGGTTGCAGTGAGCCAAGATCCTGCCGCTGCACTCCAGCCTGAGCAGCAAAGCAAGACTCTGGGGGGAAAAAAAAGGACTGGGAAAGAAGAGTCACCCTTGATATCTTCCAGTCACCCCAGGTGGGGACATTGAACAAGCACCTTACACCCAACAATTGAGGGAGGCGGAAAGGGGCAGGGGGCAGGGGCCACCATGCCAAGACCCAGAAAAAGGTCAGCCGGTGGGAAGAGGACGGAAAAGTATGAATGTGCAAGAAGTAAAGGAAAGGAAGGAAAAGGCATGGGAATTGAAAGATCTATTGGAAGTACAGGATCTATTAGAAGTACAGAGAAAGCAAGCCACCTGGTAATGAGGTCTAACAGGAA